ATATATATATATATATTCTTCCACATCTCATAATTGCTCACTCCACTGCTTCAACACAGGGAGATAAAGGAGACCAGGGGGAAAAGGGGGATACGGGCCCTCCAGGAGCAGCTGGTCCTCCAGGAGCCAAGGGCCCTCCAGGGGAGGACGGAGCCAAGGGCAATGCTGTGAGAGACACTCATTTCACAGAAATACTCATACCTCACTGAAATACATTTATTACTCTGTAAAATAGTTTMATTTGTGCTCAGCAGTTTCTAGCTAAATATTGTGGTGAAAACTAAGATAACACCTTTAAATACCTTTTATGTTTTTATTTGTCTGCAGTCTAGCACTTTGGATGATTGTTTAAAGTATTTTATAAATAAAATTTGATTGAAGTAGAAAAAAAACCTAAAGGCTCAATAGAACTTGTAACACTTTAGCTGTCAAATATTCAAACTCATCCCATTTAACATACTTSTGTAATAAAAATGGGTTTTTGTGGTTGATATTATCTGATATTCTTTTCCAACAAATGAGGATGTGATTATGATGATTTTTTTTATTATTACAACATGAAACAAGTGGAAGGATCTTCTCAGTAATTGGTGTTTCCATGATTTTATTCTTCCCAGGGGTTGTACAAACTGTAAACCACCAACAATGTAAAATGAAGAAAAAACATGAGAAAATATTTTATTCACTGGGTTTTTTTTTCTTCCAGTATCAATCTCAGGATGCTATTCTATTTTATTTTAGGTGTAATTAGTTTTTTGAAGGTTTCAAAGGAAAACATTTTTTTGCCACACTTTACCAATCAGTCTGTCTTTTGTCACTTTTTCCGAGCCTCGGTCATTCTTTAAATTGAAGCAAAAAGTGCCGAATGATGCAATACAAGTTCAAGCTTTTTCTTTCTTCAGGGTCCCATCGGTCTGACGGGTGACCTCGGACAGCAGGGAGAGTCTGGACCCAATGTGAGTGCTTGCTTCTGGTTTCCTTCTTTATTCTTTCACTTCTTCATTTAGTCTGCAAGGTGCCTGTTTGTCAGCAAGGTTAAACAAAAACCACCCAGCTAAATTGTAAATACTTAGAGAAGTGGATGGATGAAAGACAAATGATGAATCAGTGCATTTTCTGGTGCAAATCACAATTCATTCCGAAACTGGCAAATTTTAACACGTTCGAAGAAAGAAGCATGATGTTTGTTTTAAGGGCACTCATGGTTTTGTTTGGGCTTAAAGTCTGTTTGCAGAAATGTTTTGCTTTATTTAAAGGCGTTAAGTTAAATCCATCTATTTTCTGTAACATCTTAATCATGATCAGTGTTGCAGTTTAAACGAAAATTATGTTGAATAACTTTTAAAGATTGATTTTTTTGAAAAACAAATTGATCCAACTGTGAAACTACATCCAAATCTAAGACAAAAAAAATAGAGACACATCATACCATTCCTTTACGAATAGAACACAAACCCTCTTCTTTGTGCCTGGTACAGAAACATGTATGAACTTGATTTGTTGTAACTTTGCAGCTCTGGTTGTCCACAACCTTCCACTCTGTTTTTCCTTTTTAAGATAGACGTGTTTGCTGTGTTGTGTAGTTCTTTCCTGCCCACAGTTTTTCTTACCTCTTTAGGGTGTAGATGGCCTCCCGGGATCTAAAGGCGACACCGGAGATCCTGGAAAATCTGTGAGCTCCTATATCTACATATTTTCTCAGCATTTCCAATTTATCAACATGATCTGACCTGATTTTGTTCTCAGGGACCACCAGGACCACCAGGTGAACCTGGACCATCTGGACCGCCAGGGCGAAGGGTTGGTATCCATCAATGTCAAGTGTCAGCACTTGATTTTTTTTTCTTGTATTAAAAATTCCAACCAATTCTGTTGCTTTAGGGTCACATGGGGAAACCTGGGAAGGAAGGCAAACCGGGTCTGAAAGGAACAAAGGTGGGTGTTGGACATAAATCAGTCTAAAATGTATCTTTAGTATGGGAACAGCCTCAGATTGTGTCCAATCTTTCTGTTAACTCAGGGTGCTCCTGGACTGGAGGGACCTATTGGAAAAACAGGGCCTATAGGTGCTCAAGGGCATCCTGGGAAACCAGGTCCTCAGGGCTTGAGAGGAATCCCTGGCCCTGCAGTAAGACCATTTAACCAACTGAAAGGATAAATAATGAAGCACAAAATGTCTGCAGTTCTTTGATTTCTCTTTGTGACATTTTAACAGGGTGAGCAGGGTTTAAATGGACCACCAGGTCAGACAGGACCACCAGGTCCCATGGTAAGATCATAAACTCATTCATAGAAGATTAAAAAAAATACAGACTGCTTAATTTAAAATGTATATTTCTGCTACAAATTTCAACTTTTTTATTACTAACAGTCGCAAAATGTATAATACCTGTATCGTTATTAGAAAATAAGTCAACAAATGCTTTTGTTATTTTGTTCAAACTTAAACATCAGTTTAATGTTTAAATAGGTAACTAATGATTCATTAAAAAGATATTAAAAATGCTGATTAATTCAAAGTTCAAACAGAACAAAACAGCAAAAAAATTACAGTTCAGGAAGAGACAAAAGCATGATAGGTGAATATAAAGCCTCCACCAAAATAGTCTTAAAAATAAAATTGAATAAATAATCCAACAATACAATCTTTAATAAGTTGATCATACCACAATCATTAAAAAACATCCTTCAAAACATTAATGGGAACCTGACTAGAATATGTAATAATGATAAATGTCACAATCACAACTCTTTAATATAGTAGTTTTATATAACTTTTGTAATTATTTTATAGAAGGCCTGCCTTTTTATAAGTTTATTGTTACAGAGTTTCTTTTAAAAGGCACTGACCTCTGCATTTTGGTTTAATTATGATAGATACATTGTATGCAGAATTGGATAAAAATCAATAAGACAGTTTTCTTCAGAGTTATAAAGTAACCAAGTACAAATACTTTGTTACTGTACTTAAGTAGAAATTTTGGTTATCTGTACTTTACTTGAGTAATTATTTTTCAGCATACGTTTTACTTTTACTCATTACATTTTTACACAATTTATCTGTACTTTTTACTCACTACATTTTTTAAAAAGGTAAGAAGTAGAAAGTCGTTACTCCTGTTTTATTCTGAGTTATTACTTAAAAAATACTATCCTAATAAATTGTCTCCTGTATAGAGTGAATTTAATTGTGGTTGGATGAGAAGTATAAATATATACCATAGTGACACACTATTAGCTTGTACACAACCCATCACAGCTGCACGCCGTTAGAAAAAATATTTTTTGGAGAAGTCACCTCCCAGTAAATGTCATTTTGGGAAATCTAACTGCTCACTTTTACTCAGTACTTTTACTTTTAATACTTAAGTAGATTTTGTGTCAGAAATTTACTTTTGATAAAAATATCAAATACTTTAAGACTTTTACTCAAGTGATATTTTTAGAGAAGACTTTAACTTTTACCAAAATATTTTTTAATAAGATACTTGCTTTTACTCAAGTATCACTTTGAGGTACTTTACTAAACAACACTGGTTTTCTTTCTTTTTGTTTGTTTGTTTTTTTCCATTGGAAAAATGTGTTAACTATAAAAAAAAGCCTTGTGTTTTTATGAATTCCAATCTCATGTCAACCTCATGTTTGAATAAAACCATTAATTACTCTCTTCAGGGTCCGCCAGGTTTACCAGGACTAAAAGGAGACCCTGGGAGGAAAGGAGACAAGGTGAGAGCTTATCATTTACACTGACATTTAATCTGATGTGTGTGTGTTTTTTTTTTAACTTGGCTCGATCTGTCCATACAGGGTCATGGTGGTTTGATAGGTCTGATAGGACCTCCGGGAGACATTGGAGAAAAAGGAGACAGAGGACTTCCAGGAAACCAGGGGCTTCAAGGTCCAAAAGGAGAAGAGGTGCTAAAAGCAGTGAAACACACACAAACCCACATTTCCAGTTCAGCATTGTATTACTTAGAGAAACTTTGAACAATTATATAAAACACACCTTTTAAATAGTGTTTAAAAGGAGTTACTGGAGTTGCATGGTTTTAACTATTTTCATCACATTTTAAGAGTTTTCACTTTGTAAATAGTTCATATGTTTCATAGAAAAAAGACACTCCTCAGACTTTATAGGAACATCAGACCTTTTTATTTTTACTCAAAAGTCTGGTACAGGTCATTGAGTATAGTTAGGCTTAGTGGGGTTTAAGCCAGACTGAAAGAGCCAGAATGGATCCTGCTTTTATTTATTTATTTAGTACAGTGCCCTGAGATGATGTTTGCTGTGACTTGGTGCTATTTAAATAAAGGAAATTGAATTGAATCACAGTTGTAATATTTGCAATATATATGTAATTAAACAATGGACACGTAAAAGCAAACCATACAATTCTAACAACATTTAAAAGGTGTGTGTGTGTTGTCTTTATATATTTTCTATCATTCGCCTGTTTTCTTCCTCTGAGTTTTATCCTTTATTTTGTGTAAAACCAGGGTCCAGTTGGCCCTCCCGGTCCACCCGGTCCTCCTGGCCCCACCGGGCTGTCTGTGAGTAAACAGGAATACCTTATCTGTACAGTACATAACCTACAAATACAGCACTACGTCTATCAGCATGAAGAGTTCTGCAATAGTGTTCATCCTGAATCTGTGTCCTTGTTCTCTCAACCTCTCATCAGGGGGCAACTGGTGAAAAGGGTTCTAAAGGAAACCAGGTATTTTGGTGTTTATTATTTTTGTTGTTTTGGATTTAACTGACAGCTGCACTGTACAACCCAAAATCAAAATGTTTTTTTTTTTTTTTGGGTTTGTTTAGGGTCCAACTGGTCCCAGAGGAGATATTGGGCCTGCAGGGCCTCCAGGGCCACCAGTGAGTTTTTCCTCATGAAAATTATTTTCAATAAAATGTTTTATTTATTTATTTTTTAAATATGCTTGTTCGATCACTTCTGAACCCCCTTTCATCTGTTAGCCTGTTGTGGTCAACGCTTCTCGTTAACTTCTTTTCTTTGTCTACCTTTTTGTTTTACATCTTAGGGACGGCCAGCGATCGGGATTGCGCCTCCGCCAGAGCGAGGGAGGAGAAGAAGAACTCACACTGTGGTGGACGGTGCAGCTCTCGAAAATGACGATGAGGAGGAAATGGCCACAGAAGGAGGCGAGGAGGGCTGGATGCAAGGAGACCAGGCAGAGGGTCAAGACATGGAAGAGGTGTTTGCTTCCCTCTCGTCGATGAAGGTGGATGTAGAGGGTCTGCGTAACCCACAGGGGACGTACCACAGCCCCGCCCGCACCTGCAAAGAGCTCTGGCTCCTCCACCCAGACCTCCCTAATGGTACTTCAAGAGTTTGTATCTTATTTGGATTTAGTCTTTACTATTTTTTTGCTTCTCTATGTCTTTCTGTGTTTGCTTAAAGCTTTAATGTTTAATTTTTTATCTCCTCTGAGCTTCTCTATGCCCTTTTTTAAACTCTGCAGGTGAGTACTGGATCGATCCCAACCAGGGTTGCCACAGAGACTCTTTCAAGGTTTTCTGTAACTTCACTGCTCAGGGGGACACCTGTCTGTACCCCGACAAGAAGTTCCAGTCGGTCAGTTCTTATAGACTCTACCAAGAATTGATTTAATCATTGCTTGTTTTCTGATTTTATGATCTGAGTTTATGTATTTTTTTTATTTATTTATTTTTTTGGGTGTGTTTGCAGGTGAAATTAGCAGCTTGGAAAGGAGAAAAAGCTGGCAGCTGGTACAGCAAATTCAAAAAAGGAAAACAGGTATGTTGAGATAATGAAATGATACAGAACTCTCACTCACCCAGGCACAATTTACAGTGACCATTTAATGTATATTTTTGGTCTGTAGATAGCTTGATTTGAAATTTTATGATTTTTTTAAAAAGAAAAACCAACAGAACACCTGAAAATATTATCAACTCCATCAAGTGAATATTAATGACTGCAGATGACTTTAGCTTATTGAATTCTGTTTCTCAGCTTTGCTTAGAGGTGTAATGATGAAGAACAAAAGGCTGCAGTGATGGGGTTGAGGTGATGGCAGAGAGATTTAGTAATAGTTCGTTCCGATTGGCTTGTTGTTCCCATGGAGAAAATTGGTTGTATGAAAAAGGCAGGAAGTCTGAACACATTTGTAGGCTTGGTGAAGCACAAATTACCTGAATAACAGCTGCACTCATTTTAGGCTAGCACCAATACAAGTGACATGTTATTTAAAAGGAGCACACAGAGAACAAGTCTGTGAAGACTGAGGAAAAAAATCTGCTGGATTTATCATATATTAAGAAAAAAATGTGTCTTTTATTTTTCAAATAAGTTATTAGTGAGGGGGGCTTCAGGCAGATGATTAACTGAAAATGTGTTTTTGAAGCAAAAAGACTGAAGCTTTCTAAGAGTTGTTGARTTAATCAGTTTGAAAATACTCTTTAATCTTATTCTCATTTGTTTCTTAGCTGTTTGTCTACGCATTATTTTTAACTAAACTAACAACATGACTATCATAACATTTCACAAAAACATATTCAAACTAGGTCTGAGATGCATTTCAGTCTTGATGTGATACATTTTAATTAAAAACCTTTGAGGAGGCATGGAGAGTCAATTAAAAACTAGCTGCTGTTATGCCTCTGAGYCACCAAGGGAGGYAGTGTCGATGYTCATATAAGCTGGTATCACATTTAGAGGGTGTAATAAAATTTCCCATTGCTGTGTTTAGAATTGAAGATGTGCACTTGTGTGCACACAAAGATTCATTGCACACATACTGTGATTCTACGCTTCTTTTATGAGACCTTTTGTTGTTGTGGAATGTGACTAACTCGATGGGGGATTTATACAAAAAAATATATAATTAAAAAAATAGATTATCTTCTTTGTTTCTGGTTGAAAAAAATCCTAAATATTCGATACTTTAGTTTTGTGTTTATTGAAAGGATAAATTGGGTGATTAGAGATAAATTAGGTCTGATGAAACTCATGTCTCATAAGATGTTAGTGACTCCCTGAGTTGCCTCAAGTGGGATACATTAAGTGTCAGAGTTTTGTTCACGAGTGAAGGAACAAATGGAGCATAAGATTGATAGACAGATCAGTGAGACTTTTGCAGTGGTGTATCAAGAAAAATTTCAGTGTGGGGGGGGGGGGGGGCAAAATCTCTAGTCAGGGTGGCAATGCAGGATTACTTCACTGAAGTACTGTACATAAAAATTGTCTTTTTTTATTAGGAAGTGTGATGTGGAAAAGAAAAAAAAACAGTAGGTTTCAATCTTGCAAGTTTTCAAAAACAACAAACTCTAATCTTATCTCTGCCTGCACAGCCATGGGTCAGAATGCTCCAGAGAACATCCCATACTGTGACTCCCTTCTCCTCCTGGAGTTTTGGTGAAACTGAGAAATCACTTCCTCAGCAGTAAACATGAGAAACAGGAACTTGGACTGATTAAAAAAAACATCATCTGAGTGAAATATAAAGATGTAAGGCTGAAAATGTAAAAACTCTAACAATGGGTCTGAATACCCGCTTCAGATGTTATCATCCATTAAATGGACGTTATTAACCGTTATCAGTCCCATAGAATGGCTTCAGACTGTCATCTGGCTAATATGAGGCATAAAACTACTAAGGTTAATTTTAGAGAAAATGACATGGGCTACAGTAAAGCAGACCGGAATACGGCGGTAGCAGATTGTTGCATTCCAACATATATGGCACTGGTTACCCACTAGGGGGCACTGTCTGGACAGTCTGAAACCATTCTATGGACTGATAACCGTTGATAGCATCAATGGACTGATAACATCCAAACCGGCTGGTCTGAACCAGGGATTGAACATAGAACCTTCTTGCTATGAGGCAAGATAATCAATGGATGGATGGATGGATGGATGGATGGATGGATGGAAAATTTAAACAAAGCTTCTCAAAATTGAACAGCTTTACAAGTTTTAGCAGCAGATTAAACCTTCATTTACTTCCATCTGTTTGAGTTTATTATTTTTATTGTTACATTTATCCATAAATGTGAGTGTTGTTATAATTGTGCGATTCTGCTCTCCTGCAGTTTTCCTACACTGGGTCTGATGGTGATTCGATCCACGTTGTCCAGTTAAACTTCCTGAAGCTGCTCAGTGCCACAGCCAAACAGATGTTCACCTACCACTGCCTCAACTCCGCCGCTTGGCTGCACACCGCCACCTACAGTCACGATCACGCACTGCGCTTCAGAGGCAGCAGTGGCGAGGAGCTCACGCACGAGAACACACATTATATCAGTGCGCTGTACGACGGTTGTCAGGTGAGTCACGTGTTTTATTGTTTTATTGTTTTAAATTATTTGTGCTTTCTGTGAAGCACTTTGTGATGTTTGTGTCTGTGAAAGGTGCTATAGAAATAAAGTTTACTTACTTACTTACTTACTTAATTCTCGGGTAA